CGCCTCTGCCAGCCCAAACACCGCCTCCATCGACCAACACAAATCTCCTGTCAAGACCCAGCCCCCTACAAAGACGCAGACAAGGACCCTCCTCCCGCCTTCTATAACACCCCTTCCCCCCACCCCTCGAGGAAAGTATGACCAAACTGTCCCAAATCCCGAACTGGGCCGAGGAGGCGGAAAATAACCCCATATATGACAGCGACAGTGAAAGCGACAGTAGTGGAAGACGACTGACGATAGACACTGACCCTGAACAGGACAGACTAACGAAACCAAAAAAATCAAACCTCCCCCTAAAACGACAGAACTCTCTCGACACAGTTACTCAAAATATAAACGACCAAAGAACAGAAAAGAAGAAAAAGACAGAAAAACTTTCCACCCGACGGACAAACCCCTCACCCAGACGACACTGACAATTCAAACATTTTCAACTTATCTTATTATTCCCTCTTTTTTCTTCTTATAGAACACAGGATGGCAGGAGTGAGAGTGCTTTCCTTGAACACAAGAGGGATGCGTGGTAAGTTGCCCCAACTTAAAAATCTCATACACACACACAAACCAGACGTTCTCCTTTTACAAGAAACAAACATCCGCGACAGATACACCACTACAAAAACTCACACACGAGCTGGGCCTAGCAACGGGGGTGTTCGGCCTGGGCCCCCTACTGTCGCGGAACAGCTATCCTCCAAACTTCCGACAAATACACAATTACAGAACACACAGCAGACAACACAACAGGCCGATACACAATAGCCACCATCACAAGCAACACAGATAGATCTACATACACACTTGCCAACATATACGCGCCAGCACAAGCAACACAGATAGATCTACATACACACTTGCCAACATATACGCGCCAGCACAAGCACGCACACGACCCACGTTTTACGACACACTAGCCGCAACACTAGCCTCAACAAAACACAAACTTATATTGGGGGGGGGGGGGATTTCAACATAACACTAGAAGAGAGGGATATAGTGGGTACAGACATAGGAAAAATCAGACTGGGCAGAAGAGAACTACAGAACATCATAGACACACACAGATTGAAGGACAGCTACAGGGAGGTACACAAGAACAATGCAACAAACCCGACACACCGACACACATTCAAATAATTCTATAACAGAGCAGCCAGAATAGATAGAATCTACACAGACCAAACACTCTAAGTCACACAGTGCACACACATAAACAGCACACTCCAATTCACAGACCACAAAGCAGTTTTAGTGACAATAGGACCCGGAGTACACACACACACAAAACCATCACCTCATTGGAAATTCAACAACAGTTTACTAGAAAATGAAGTCCTGGGACATGATGAAAGACGCAATCAAAACAGTCAGTATCATCATGGCCAAGAGAATCAACACACGCAGACGACACCGAGAACACTCACTAGAACAAACACTACAAACAGCAGAAGAAGAAGGAACACTACAAGAACCACAGAACTTGGAATTACAAACAGAACTAGAGGAAATTAGACAACACAGATACAGAGGGGCACAAATACGCACAAGATTCACAGACATACCAGACGAACAACCCACACAACAGTACTTAACAATACTGTTTATAGGTACCAGAAACTAAATTTTCAAACTAGCTGTATGCCAAATAAAATTTTAAAAACCTGTAATTTAGTGTAATGTCGGCCCCCAATTTCGTAAACGGATACACATTTTTTACAAAAACCCACA